CCCCCTGACCCCAAACCCCCATGAGAAGCGGGAGGAGCTGCACCAACATCTCCCCAACCCTTGGTGATGAATTTAGGGGTCCCACGGTGACCCCAAACCCCCATGAGAAGGGGGAAGAGCTGCACCAACACCTCTTGTGATGAATTTAGGGGTCCCACCGTGACCCCAAACCCCCCCTGACCCCAAACCCCCATGAGAAGGGGGAGGAACTGCACCAACATCTCTTGTGATGAATTTTGGGGTCCCACCGTGACCCCAAACCCCCCCTGACCCCAAACCCCCATGAGAAGGGGGAGGAACTGCACCAACATCTCTTGTGATGAATTTTGGGGTCCCACCGTGACCCCAAACCCCGTGCTGACCCCGAACCCCGCGGCAGGAGGGTGAGGAGCTGGTGCAGGCCAAGCCGGAGCTGAGCGGGGCGGTGCGGCGGCAGCTGGAGGAGCTGAGGAGATGCTGGCAGGAGCTGGAGACCACGAGCCAGGCCCGGAGCCGGCGCCTGGCCGAGGCCGCGGCCGCCGAGCGCCTGGCGCGGAGCTACGCCGACATGGAGGCGCGGCTGGGCCGGCTGGAGGAGCAGCTGGAGAGCGTCGGCAGCGGGGCCGACCTGCGCAGCGTCAGCCGCCAGCTCAAGAGGCTGCAGGTGGGGCTGGGGGACACGGGGGACACCAGGCCTTGGGGACAAGGGTGGATGGCGGGGGGACAGCAGGGCTTGGATGGCCATCGGATGTTGGGGGGACATCGGGGGCCGTTGGGACACCGGGTCGTGGGGGGACACCGGGTTATGGTGGACACCAAATTATGGGGCCACCACATGATGGAACCACATTTTTGGGGGGAACGCTCCACCCTGGGCACTGAAGGTCCCATCCTGGCCATCATGGCCACCTTCCTGACCCCGTGTCCCCCCGCAACGTGTCCCCAGACGATGGAGTCGCAGGTGGAGGAGTGGTACAAGGAGGTGGGCGAGCTGCAGGCGCAGGCGGCGGCGCTGCCGGCGCAGGCGGCCGGGCGGGACGCGGTGGGCGAGCGGCAGAGCGCGGTGGGGACGCGCATCGTGCGCCTCATCGAGCCCCTCAAGGAGCGCAGGAGGATCCTGCTGGCCTCCAAGGAGGTCCATCAGGTCAGCCATGAGCTGGAGGACGAGGTGGTGAGTACCAGGGTGAGGTGGGGTGAGGTTGGGGTGGAGGTGGGGTGGAGATGAAGATGGATGGGAATGGAGATGGATGGGGATGGAGATGGATGGGGATGAAGATGGATGGGGATGAAGATGGATGAAGATGAAGATGGATCAAGATGGGCCGGGATGAGATGGAGATGGGGATGGGATGAAGATGGATGGGGATGAAGATGGGATGAAGATGGATGAAGATGAAGATGGAGGTGGAGATGAGATGAAGATGAGGATGGATGGAGATGAGGATGGGGATGGAGATGAACACAGAAATAGGGATGGGCTGGGATGGAAGACAGCCCCGACACCGAGGTCCACGCCCATCCCCAGATGTGGGTCCAGGACCGCCTGCCCTTGGCCCTGCTGAAGGACCACGGCACCAACCTCCAGACCGTCCAACAATTCATCAAGAAGAACCAGGTTAGCGCCCGTGCCAGCGCTGGGGGCTGGGGGATGCCCCACCCCGACCCCTCCACCCACCCTGACCCCACCCCATCCCCACAGAACCTGCGCCGGGAGATCCAGGTGCACCGGCCCCGCGTGGACGAGGTGCTGGAGCGCGCTGCCGCCGTGGCCTCCATCAAGAGCCCCGAGGCCGAGGGCGTGCGGTGCCTCCTGGAGCGGCTGGGGACGATGTGGGCGGAGCTGCAGGAGCAGACGGAGCGCCGGCAGCAGACCCTGGATGCCACCTACCAGCTGGAGCAGTACTACTTCGACGTGGCCGAGGTGGAGTCGTGGCTGGGAGAACAAGAGCTGCTCCTGATGAACGAGGAGAAGGGGAAGGTGGGGTTGAGAGGGGTGGGGTTGGGCTGGGTTGGATTGGGTTGGTTGGGCTGGTTGGTTGGGTTGGTTGGATTTTTTGGGTTGGTTGGTTGGGATTTTGGGGTTTTTTTGGTTCCATTGGTTGTGTTTTTTGGGTTGGTTTTATTGGGTTTTTTGGGTTGGTTGGGTTTTTTGGGTTGGTTTATTGGGTTTTTTGGGTTGGCTGGGTTTTTTGGGTTGGCTGCTCCATTAGGTTGGGTTTGGCTGCTCGAGTCACTCATCTGCCTCGGCTGAGTCGCGTTGGGTCGAGCCGCGGTGTCACACCTCAGTCCCTGCTCCCACCCCGCCCCAGGACGAGCAGAGCACTCTCCAGCTCCTCAAGAAGCACCTCCTCACCGAGCAAACCATCGAGAACTACGAGGAGACCATCGCCCAACTCTCCCGCCAGTGCCGCGCCCTCCTGGAGCTCGGCCACCCCCAGAGGTCCGCCCGCCCTCCGCTCGCCCCCGGGCCCCCGGCCGCTGCCGCGGCGCCGCCGGGGCTGACGGGCGCTGTGTCCCTCACCCAGCGAACAGGTCAGCAGGCGGCAGTCGCAGGTTGACCGGCTGTACGTGTCTCTGAAGGACCTGGTGGAGGAGCGCAAGGTCAAGCTGGAGCAGCAGTACTGGCTCTACCAGCTCAACCGCGAGGTGGACGAGCTGGAGCACTGGATCGCCGAGAAGGAGGTGGTGGCCGGCTCGCCCGAGCTGGGGCAGGACTTCGAGCACGTCACGGTGAGGACGGGAAGGCTGGAATCCTTGGGGGTGGGGTGGGTTTGGTGGTTGAGGGTGACGGAGGAGTTGGTGGGGGTTGTGGTGGACGTTCTGACTCGTGGTGGGGTTCTGGTGACATCACCAGGGTTCTGAGAGCCTTTCCTGACCTCTGCTGGAGGTCCTGGCACCATCCTGGTGGTCCTGGCACCATCCTGGTAGTCCTGGCACCATCCTGGAGGTCCTGGCACCATTCTGGTGGTCCTGGGCATCCCCTCTGCCCCCTGGGGAGGTCCCAAGCCCTGCCCACCCCTGACCCCTGCCCCACACCCCCCTGGGGCCACCACAGCTGCTGCAGGAGAAGTTCCTGGAGTTTGCCAGCGAGACGGGCAGCGTGGGACAGGAGCGCATCGCCGCCGTCAACCAGATGGTGGACGAGCTCATCGACTACGGCCACACCGACGCCGCCACCATCGCCGAGTGGAAGGACGGCGTCAACGAGGCGTGGGCCGACCTCCTGGAGCTGATGGAGACGCGCGCCCAGATGTTGGCGGCGTCCCACGAGCTGCACAAGTTCTTCAACGACTGCAAGGAGGTCCTGGGGCAGATCGAGGAGAAGCGGCAGCGGCTGCCGGAGCTGGCGGCGCGGGAGGGCAGGACCTCGGCCGGCGCCCTGCAGAGGGCCTTGGGCGCCTTCGAGCACGACGTGGAGGTGCTGGTGACGCAGGTGCGGCAGCTGCAGGAGGGCGCGGCGCAGCTGCGGACGCTCTATGCCGGGGACAACGCCGAGGCCATCGCCGGGCGCGAGCAGGAGGTGCTGCGGGCGTGGAAGGAGCTGCTGGCGGCGTGTGAGGAGTGCCGGCTGCACGTGGCCAGCGTGGCCGACAAGATCCGCTTCGTGGGCACCGTCAGGGATCTGCTGGCCTGGATGGATGGGGTGCTCCACCAGATGGGCGCCGGGGAGAAGCCCAGGTAGGGGAGGTGGCCGTGGATCAAGTCCTGGTCCATCCCAAGGTCCCGTGTCCTGGTCCATCTGAGGATCCGTGTCCTGTCCCACCATGGACCCAGGGGCCGTGTCCTGGTCCATCCCACCATGGATCCAAGGACATGTCCTGGTCCATCCCAAGGTCCCGTGTCCTGGTCCATCTGAGGATCCATCTCCTGTCCCACCATGGATCCAAGGACCACGTCCTGGTCCATCAGGAGGACCCCAAACCTTTCCCCATGCCAATGTCCCCTCCCAGCCACCAAGGACCCCTCTCCATCCCCACCCCATGCTGGGGGTTGGGACCACCCTTGTCCCTCCCCTGCCCCAGGGACGTGTCCTCAGTGGAGCTGCTGATGAACGACCACCAAAGCCTCAAGACTGAGATGGAGGCCCGGGCCAAGAACGTGGCCACCTGCCTGGAGCTGGGCAAGACCCTCATCCTCGGCAAGAGCCCGGCGGCCGACGAGGTGCCCGGGGTGGGGGGCGGGCCATGTGGGGAGGGGGCGTGCTGGAACTTCTGGGGTGTCCCGACCCATGTCCCCCCTCCCCACAGATCAAATCCCACATGGAGAAGCTCCTGGCAAAGAAGAAGGAGATGACGGAGAAGTGGGACAAGCACTGGGAGTGGCTGCAGCAGAGTGAGCGCCACCATGACGGGACACCAGGGGGTCATCGGGTGTTGGGGGGACACCAGAAGGTTTCTGGGGGTCGTTGAGTCTTGGAGGGACAGCAGGTCTTGGGGTGGACATTGGATCATAGGAGTCACCTGATTATGGGGGACACCGGGTTATGGGAGACACCAAATTACGGGGGAACACCAAATTATGGGAGTCATCAGACTATGGGTGACACCAAATTAAGAGTGCCACCAGACCATGGGTGACCCCAGCCTCTGCGGTGACCCCGCGGTGGTGACGGGCGGCCCCGGCTGTGCCGGCAGTGCGCGAGGTGCACCAGTTTGCGCAGGAGGCCGTGGTGGCCGACGCGTGGCTGACGGCCCAGGAGCCGCTGCTGAAGAGCCAGGAGCTGGGCAGCAGCGTGGACGAGGTGGAGCAGCTGATCCGGCGGCACGAGGCCTTCCGGAAGGCAGCGGCTGCCTGGGAGGAGAGGTTCAGCTCCCTGCGGCGCCTCACCACGGTACGGCCACCACGGCGCCGGGGACACCCCTGGGGCTGGGCCCTGCTCGGGGTGGGGGCAGCCGTGGGCTCAGCAGAACCATCTCTGATCTTCATCCCATTCCCATCTCCATGGCTATTGCCATCGCTGGCTTCGTCATCTTCATCTCCATCTTCATCTCCATCTTCATCTCCATCTGTCTCCATCTCCGTCTATCTTCATCTTCATCTTCGTCTCCATCTTCATTCCTGTCCCATGCCCAACTCCATCCCTGTCCCTATCTCATCTCCTCCATCTCCATCTCCATCTCATCTCTATGTCCATGTCCATGACCATCATCTCCATCTCCATCATCTCCATCATCTCCATCTCCTCCATCTCCACCCCATGCTGCCCCACAGATCGAGAAGCTCAAGGCCGAGCAGAACAAGCAGCCGCCGACGCCGCTCCTGACCCGCAAGTTTTTGGGGGAAGCCCCGGGAGGTCCGGACCCTCGCCGGCCGGAGCCGCGCGTGGCCTACGTTCGGCACGAGCTGCGGCCGGAGCGCCTCCAGCCCAAGCTTGACCGTGTCCAGGCGCCGGCCGCCGATGGAGGAACCCCCGAGCCACCCCCGGCCACCGCCGCCGTCACTGCGGCCACCCCCGCGGAGCCCCCCGTGGCCCCCAAGGCCGAGGAGCCCGGCGAGGTCCGGCCAGGGCCACCGGAGCGGCGCCGGGAGCGCCGGGAGCGCCGGCTGGAGCGGCAGGAGTCCAGCGAGCCGGAGCCACCACGGCACGACGGGAAGGGCGGCGGGTGAGCGAGGGGACGCTGTGGGGACACGGTGGGGACGGCGGGGAGGGGACGGGGCTGAGGTGACCCCGCTGTGGTCCCCAAATGTCCCCCAGCAGCAAAGCCACCCTGGCCGACATCGTGGAGCAGCTGCAGGAGAAGGAGGCGGGCGGCCCCGTGCCAGCTTCGGTGAGTCCTTGGTGGCCCCTTGGATTCCTTTTTGTGTCCCTTTGGATTCCCCTTGGTGTCCCCTCTGTCACCCCCTGGAGATCCCTGGGTGTCCCCTCAATGTCCCCTCTGTCACCCCCTGGAGATCCCTGGGTGTCCCCTCAATGTCCCATTGGAGATCCCTTCCCTGACTCCCTGGAGATCCCTGGGTGTCCCCTCAATGTCCCCTCCATGAACCCCCTGGAGATCCCTGGGTGTCCCCTCAATGTCCCCTCCTGTCCCCAGCCCCGTGACCGCGACTCCCCCGCCCGTCTCCCTGCTGGCCCCGAGGCCCTCCCGGAGAGGACCCCGAGGCCGGAGCGTCCCCGTGCCCGGGACCGGCCGAAGCCGCGGCGCCGACCGCGCCCCAAGGACTCGGGGCAGGGCCCGGGGGAGCCGCGGCGCTCGCGGTCGGCGCCGGCGCAGGGCAGCGCTCCCCCGCCGCCGCCGCCACCTGCACACACGGTGACGCACGAGGGGTTCCTGCTGCGCAAGCACGAACTCGACGGCGCTGGCAAGAAGGCGTCCAACAGGTCTGGGGGCACCGTGGGGATGGAGGTTCTCCAAGGGTCCATCAGTGATCCACCAAGAGTTGAGGGTTCTCCAAGGGTCCATCAATGACACACCAGAATTTGGGGGTTCACCAAGAGTCAGGGGTTCACAAAGGGTTGGGGTTCATCAATGAAAGGGGTTCACCAAGGCTTGGGCGTCCTTCAGTAATGGAGTTCACCAAGGGTTGGGGTTTCTCCAAGGGTTTGGGGTCCATCAGTGGAGAAGGCCCATCACAATTCGGGGGTCCATCAAGAGTTGGAGGGTCCATCAATGAAGCGGATTGACCAAAATCCGGGAGTTCACCAAGGATAGGAACGTTCACCAACGAATGGAATCCACCACAATTTGGGGTGGGGGGGTCAACCAAAACTCAGAATTCCCAAAACCTGGTGGTCACCCCACGTCCCACCACGAGCAGGTCTTGGGTCAACCTCTACTGCGTCCTGGCCAAGGGTGACCTGGGCTTCTACAAGGACGCCAAAGGCCCCGCGGCCGGGGCCACCCACGGCGGGGAGCCCCTGCTGAGCCTGCACCGCGCCACCAGCGAGGTGGCCAACGACTACAAGAAGAAGAAGAACGTCTTCAAGCTCAAGTGAGTTTGGGGTTTGTCAGTTTTGGGGTCTCTGACACCATTTTTGGGGTCTCCTGATGACTTTTGGTGGCTCTGATGCCCCCAAGTCCTGGTGGACACGGTGACAGTGTTCCTGTCTTGTAGGACGGGCGATGGGAGCGAGTTCCTGCTGCAGGCCAAGGACGAGGTGCGGCTTTGGGGGGTCTTTGAAGGGTTTTGAGGGGGGGGTCTGATGATGGTTTTGGTGGTTCTGATCCCATTTTGGGGTCTCATGTTGATTTTGATGGATCTGACCCCACTTTCAGGGTACCTGACCCCACTTTTGGGATATTTGATGTCATTTTTGGTGTCTCTAACCCCGTTTTCGGGGTGTCTGACCCCAATTTTGGCCTTTAGGAGGAGATGCAGGGCTGGCTGCGGGCGCTGGCGGCCAGCGCGCAGGAACACGCCGAGCTGGCCCGCTGGCACCAGGGTCTCCTCACCACCTCCTCCACCGACGAGGGGCTCCCCCGGCGCGACCCCGACCGGCCCCGGCGGAAGTGACCCCCCAGAACCCTGACTTTGGGCTCCTGGCCCCCACAAAACCCAAATTTGGGGGTCCTGCCCCACGCCCGAGCCCCAGTTTTGGGGTCCCGAGTCCCGGTTTACGGGTCCCAGCCCCCCCCCAAAACCTCAATTTTGGGGTTCTGGCTCCCCCAAAACCCTGATTTTGGGGTCCCACCCCCACCCGAGCCCCAGTTTTGGGGCCCCGGCCCCCCCTTTCCCCCAGCACAAGCCATAGAGAGCCGGGGGGGCCCAGCGCCGCCGTTGTACAAATGTAATAAAGCACCCGCTGCACCCCAAAACCGACTTGGGGGATTTGGGGCATCCTGAGAAGGTTTGGGGGCAGCTTGGGGGGGTTTGGGGCATCCAGGGAGGTTTAGGAGCGACTCGGAGGGGTTTGAGGACAAACTGGGAGGGTTTAGGAGCGACTGAGGGGCAGTTCAGGGGTGTCCAGGGGGGGTGGGAGCGATTTGGGGGGGTCTAGGACTGACGGGGGGGTTTAGGAGCTACTGGGGGGGATTTGGGGGTGTCCCGGGGGGTTTAGGATCTACTGGGGGAGTTTAGGAGCATCTGGGAGGGGTTTAGGATCAACAAGGTTCGTTCTGCTGCTTCTGGAGCCGGGAAGAGCCCGGGACGAACCAGGCAGGTCCCGCCCGGGAGTGCGGCAAAAACTCACCGGAGAAAACCCGGCGGTCCCGGAGCGATCCCGGTCCCGGTGCTGATCCCGGTCCCGGTGTCGATCCTGATCCCTGAGCAGTTCCGGTTCCGGTCTCGGTCCCGGTACCGGAGCGGTGCCGCTCTCAGAGCCGGTCCCGGTGCCGGTCTCCTTGGCCCCGCCCCTTTCCCCTCACAGTTCCCGCCCTTAACGTGACCACGCCCCCTTCCCCTCCTACCCCGCCCTGTCCTTGGCCACGCCCTTGGTTTTTCCGCTGAGCCCCGCCCATCTCCTGGCGCTTTCCCTCCGGCGCATGCGCAGAATACCCGGAAGTGGCTTCCCCGGGCGCCGCCATCTTTGCTCCCGGTGCCCCGGCCCGGCTCCAGCATGTCCGAGACCTACGGTGGGGCTATAGGGGATCTATAGGGGATCTATAGGGGATCTGGAGGGGTCTGGGGGGATCTGGGGGGGTCCAAGGAGTCTGGGAGGGATTCTGCGATCTCTGTAGGGGGTGTGGGTGTCTCTGTAGCGGATGCGGGGGGGTATGGGGGTGGTCCCTAAAGGGAATTTGGGGGCTCTATGGGGGATCTATGGGGGATCTATAGGGGATCTATGGGGGATCTGTAGGGGATCTATGGGGGATCTGTAGGGGATCTATAGGGGATCCATAAGGGATCCATAGGGGATCTATAGGGGATCTATAGGGGATCCATAAAGGATCCATAGGGGTCTGGGGGATCTATAGGGGTCTGGGGGAGCCTCTGGAGGGTCCAGGGGGGTCTCGGGGTCCCCATGGAGGAACTTGGGGGTCCTCGGAGGGAAATTTTGGGAATTGGGTTCCATGGGCAGCGGATTCTTCCCAATTTGGGGTCCCCATAAGGAAAATCTGGGAATTTTGGGGTCCCTAGAGGGGATTTTGGGGTCCCCATAAGGAAAATCTGGGAATTTTGGGGTCCCTAGAGGGGATTTTGGGGTCCCCATAAGGAAAATCTGGGAATTTTGGGAATTTTTTTTTTCCCCCAGATTTCCTCTTCAAGTTCCTGGTGATCGGCAGCGCCGGCACCGGCAAGTCCTGCCTGCTGCACCACTTCATCGAGAGCAAGTGTACGGAATTCCGGGGAATTTCGGGAATTTTCGGGAATTTTGGGGAATTCTGGGCGCTCCGAGGAATTTTGGGGAGATTTTTGGAGGCATTTTCAGTTTTTTTTACTTTCTTGAGCCCTTTGGAGGCTTTTCCCCCTCCTTCTTTTGTGGGATTTTGCCTTTTAATGCAACTTTTGGGAATTTTTGGGGAACTTTCTGACGCTTTTGGCTCATCTTTGGTCACTTTTGGGGCATTTTCTTTCATTTTGGGGCATTTGGAGCCAATTTTGGGCCATTTTGGGTCATTTTGGGGCCATTCCCCACCCATTCCGGACATCCCCACTCCCCCATCCCACAGAATTCTCGTTTTTTTCCCATTTTTCCCAGTCAAGCAGGATTCCAACCACACCATCGGGGTGGAGTTCGGCTCCAAGGTCGTCAACGTGGGCGGGAAAACGGTGAAACTTCAGATCTGGGACACGGCCGGCCAGGAGCGCTTCAGGTACCTCCTTCTTCCCACTTTTCCTACTTTTATCCCAATTTTCCCCCTTTTTTCCCAATTTTCCTCCTTTTTTCCCTCCTTTTTTCTCATTTTTCCCTCTTTTCCCTCATTTTTTCCCGTTTTTCTTCCTTTATTTCTCTTTTTTTTCTCAATTTTTCCTCGTTTCTCCTCAATCTTCTCTTGGTTTTCCCTTTTTCCCTCGTTTTGCTTCATTTTTCCCAAATTTTCTCCCCGTTTTTGCCTTGTTTTTCTCCTTTTTCCTCCTGTTTCTTTCTCTTTTCCCTCTTTTCTTGCATTTTTTCTGTCTTTCTTCTCTTCCCCTCCTTTTTCCCAATTTTTTTCTTTTTCTCCTCATTTTTTCCCTTTTTTTCCCATGTTTTTTTCCCCTTTTTTCCCCTTTTTTCCTTTTTTTATCCTGTTGTTTTTCCATGTTTTTTTCCACATTTTTTCCCACGGGTTCTCCTGGCTTTTCCCCTCATTTTTCCCTCGATTTCCACCTCTTTTACCAATTAATTAATTATTATTAACAGCTGTTATTTTTTATTATAATTACTGTTACCAATAATCAATCATTACTTATTATTACCATTAACTATTATCAATTAGAGCTGTTAATTATTACTCACCATTAATTATTATTAACAATTATTAGGACTATTTGCAGATTGTTAATTATTGTGAACCGTTAATGATTATTAGCGGTTATTAACGATCCCCCCGGTGGCTCACGCGCGATTTCGGCTCGGGGTTTGTTCCGTTCCCGCCCAGAATTCCCGCTTTTTCACGTTTTTTCCCTCTTTTTCCCGTTTTTTCCCGCTTTTTCACGTTTTTCCCGCTTTTTCACATTTTTTCCCGTTTTTTCCCGTTTTTTCCCCGTTTTTTCCGTGCCCAGGTCGGTGACCCGCAGTTACTACCGGGGGGCCGCGGGGGCGCTGCTCGTCTATGACATCACCAGGTACGCCCGTGACGTCATCGACACACCCGTGACGTCATCGGCTCGTCCGCGACGTCGCCGATGTGCTTGTGACGTCACGGGTGGGGGTGTGACATCATTGGTGGGTGGGCGTGACGTCATTGGTGGGTGTGTGTGACGTCATTGGTGGGGGTGTGTGTGACGTCATTGGTGGGTGGGCGTGATGTCATTGGTGGGTGTGTGTGTGACGTCATTGGTGGGTGGGTGTGACGTCATTGGTGGGTGTGTGTGATGTCATTGGTCTGTGTGTGTGACGTCATTGGTGGGTGGGCGTGATGTCATTGGTGGGTGGGCGTGACGTCATTGGTGGGTGTGTGTGACATCATTGGTGGGTGGGCGTGGTGTCATTGGTGGGTGGGCGTTGTGTCATTGGTGGCGGGGGGTGACGGCATTTGTGGGGGGG